AATGAAAACGTCCACCATATGATCTCGTGTTTTTGTATTGTTACAGTGCCATTATTAAATACTAAAAATAATTGCATGATGACTAAAGCTAGCATCCTGAAATACTAAAACTTACGTAGTAATATACTACAAGATTTCTGATGTTTTTTTAAGCTAACATATCAAAATTAAGATTTTTCTAAACCTAATGTTTTTTTAGCATAAGCTTTTACACAAACAATAATAAGTTTAGCAATCACACAACTTTTGTCATATGTCATCTTAATGAAAATCATGAGTTTAACTTGAGTATTATTATTTGATGATCATATAAAGATAATGATTTTTTGACATTATTTTTCAAAATTATGTCCTAGACTTGATTACTGTTTTTATTTTTGTCATCGACTTATGCAATTATGAACTATTCTTGTATGTAGTAATGAGATTTGCTACTTGAATATGTGTATACTTTTATTTCTTTTTTACTATATATGTTATTTTATGAAATATATCATTTAGATGTTCAAAATAATACCCGTATTTTTTGTCCGAATTTTTGTAGTAGATAACGTATTATATACGTTTTTTTTACATGTTTTTTTAAAAGTCAACGTTTTTTTCAACAAATTTTTGACCGTCTTTTTCATTCATGTTACCGAATAAAACGCGTACGTATTAAACCTCGTTTAATTCCAGTATCGTATTTAAGTAACTAGGGTGTGTTCCCTTCCCTCTCCCTGTTCTACACATCTGCAATTTCTTTCTTTCTGACTTCGATAATAGATCATGGACTCCGGCCCCTTCTCGGATGGGACCTACTCCTACAAATGCAAATCAATCAATGAAGGGTGGAGGATAGCTCCAATTGTTCCAACCAACGGCATCTAGCACAAACTCAGTTTAGTTGTATCTACAATTTTTGAATATACTAATATAAAACCCAAGAGATCTGCAATAGTGCAATCACCATTAATGGCGGTCAATTTTCCCAAATAAACTCCATCACAAAGGAATTTAATGAAGGTATGAGCGTATCTTACTTTGCAAAGCCAATTATTTTCATATTATTCTTCTACCTTTTCTTCTATTTCTTTTTCCTTTTCATCTTTTTAATTCTTATCCATTCTCTGCTGAGGTGAACATGTATTTTTACAACACCATGTAGATCGGGTTTAAATTTTTCACAAATGTATAATAATTAGATCTATATACCTTGCCAATTTTCCCAATTTTCCAAGTGGCAAGGAAAATTTTCCCAATTTTCCCAAATAAACTCAGTATGAGCGTATCTTACTTTGCAACCCCAATTATTTTCATATTATTCTTCTACCTTTTCTTTGATTTCTTTTTCCTTTTCATCTTTTTAATTCTTATCCATTCTCTGCTGAGGTGAACATGTATTTTTACAACACCATGTAGATCGGGTTTAAATTTTTCACAAACGTATAATAATTAGATCTATAAATCTCTTCAATTAATATTTCTGAAAAGCAAGAGAGCTTTCCTAGATCTCTTCAAATCAATCCCGAAAATCAATCTTGAGGTTGAATGTATGTATTAATGTATATGTACTGCTGAGGAAGATGACGAACAGTGAGATGCTTTTTTGTTTGTTGAGGTGTATATTTTTAGGATCTACTCCGTAAGTGGCAAGGTATATTCCAAATAAGAAACAAAATACATCCAGCTAAGCATAAGTTACTTGTTTACCGGGACTCAACCGGCTAAGGGTGCAAATTAGGGGTGGGATCGGGATGATCCCGATCCCGATTGCCCAAATCCTGATCCCGTCTTCATCCCGATTCAAACTATAAGAGGATCCTGTATCTCGTCCCGATTAAGTCGGGATCCCGACATTAAAATCCCGATTAAGTCGGGATCCCGATCGGGAATCCCGATTAATCCCGCTAAATCCCAACAATGAAGTATCAAACATAAATTTATGTAATTTCTTTAGTTAAACACTAACTTTGATATTTAGTGGTTTCAATATTATTCTTTGTTCACTGTTATACCATATTTATCATCATCTACTTATAAAATTTATTGTAACAATTATCTTCTCAAATTCACACTAGTACATACTTTTAGAATAATTTTTATTTGTAACTTCAATTAATTAGTAGTATAATTTGTGAATAAGCTATCAAGGCTTAGTGAAACTTACTTCAAACGTTATATAAAAATCACTAAAAGAAGGATGTGTAATGTATATTATTTAAAATTAAAAACTAAGTAGACTCATTGAGAAACTTTGTGACCAATGAATATAATTTGTAAATACATATTATGATTATCTACTAAAGAAAGAAATCTTAGTCTCGATCATGATTTTTTAAAGAGTTCATCAGAACCGCAAAATTTGTAATATTGTTGTGATTTAGATTATCGGGATCAAGAATAATCTCTATTTAGTTAGGATTCCGAATATTCATTTTCGGACAAATGCCTAATAGTTTTAGAAGTTTGATATTGTAAGATACTCGTAGTAAAAGATTAATTTATGTAAGGAATAAGTAATTAAAAAAGATGTGCAAATATTTAGATACATATTCATTTTTTATAAATGTATATTCATTTTTTATATATTCATATATATATATATATATATATATATTCATTATATATATATATAGGGAGCGGATCAGGTGAGAAGTGCTCTTAGGCTGAGAACTGCGAAGTTAAACTTATAGACTAAATACATGAACTTTTAACTAATGAATCATAACTTATAGACCCCTCAAAAATAATTACGAAAATGCCACCGCGAAAAAATAATTACGGAAATCTGGAAAATTTTTGACGCGGTGGCATTTTCGTAATTATTATGGAGAGCTTTATAAGGTATGATTTATTGGTTATAAGTTGCTATATTTAGTCTATAAGTTTAATGCGTTGTAAGATCAGATGCAAATCCAAGGGCTGAGATTACTTCTCACTTCTCATTTTAAGGGGCACTTCTCACCTGATCTTTTTTCTATATATATATATATAATGTCGGGATGTCGGGATTTTCCCGATCTCGACTTTTAAAAAAAATCCCGGTCCTGTCCCGACTTAGTCGGGATCGGGAAAAATTTCGGACTAGTCGGGATCGGGATTGTCGGGATCGGGATTGTCGGGATCGGGAGTCGGGAGTTTTTTCCCAGCCCTACTGCAAATTGATCATGTTTTGTATGTTGAGGGACTCAATTGATTGATTTTATAGTACGAGGACTCAATTGACTTTTTGGATATAGTACGGGGACCTATTTGACAGCTTTCCCTTTTAAAAATAATACAATATTACACCTACTTTTGTTGGATTTATCTTTCATCCCACCACACTATTTTATTATCTTCCCATCATATCCTCAATAATTTATATCCCCTATCACTATTCATAATCTCACTCATTTTCCATTTGGGAAGATTCCAGCATTATGGAGGTAGTATTATACGAAGTATTTCGTGCTTAAAACCGAGATATTGGAGTGTTCTATGAAAGTGTAGAAATATTTCAAGGTGCTCCAATTGCTCATATATGTAATTTTTTAGAAGTTAGAAGCTTCTAAAAAATTGATTTTGATTCTAGCGTTTAAACTTTAAAAAGTAACACAATCAATTACAAACCCCCTTTAAGAGCACTATTTTTTTAAAAGAATATTAATTACTAAACCAGAAGCCGGAGTATAGGCTTAAGTGAACGCTAGAATTCAGTGTAAAATTATACTTCGTACATTATACGATAGTACATACTAATACATACTTAAGAGTCTGAGATCTCTATGATACTCATTTAATGGTAAGCGATTTGCGCTTCTTCTTTAATACACCCTCCGTATTTAAAAAAGCACTGCGTTTGATTATGACACAAGATTTAAGGTAGAATAGTAATGCTAATGAATAGTATAAAAAAAAGTAGGAGAAAAGGTGAAAAAATATGGAAGAGAGGATAAAAAGTAGAAAAAGTAAGGGTAATTGAATATTTGTAAAGGAAAAACTTACCAAAAAGGGAAAGTGTAGGGAACTTCTAAATACGTAGTACATCCCAAAAGGAAAAATGTAGACAACTTTTAAATACAGAGGGAGTATAATTCTTCTTTGGTTCTTTAGAACCAACCGTCTTAAAATCTGATAGAAGGGTATTTCTTGAGTCTAAAAATCTAATAGAAGGGTATTTCTTGAGTCTAAATGATTCTGTTAAATGTTAATTGGTGGATTTTGAGTTACTGACTAATTGTAACTATAAACGATATTCAAATTAATATAATTTGACAATGAAAGAGTTATATATTTGTGATTAAAATAAAGACTGTTTACAAAAAAGTGATTAATTTAATAACTAGACTGATAATGAAATCATTGTAACTTATGTTCAATTTTAAACTTAAGTTACTATGATGTTACATTGTAGTAACTAATAGTCATATTTATGTAAATGAGTTTTATTTTAATATAATATTTTTGTAAAAAACCCTTATCGATTTCCTTTTAAAAATACTACGGGATGAAAATGTTAATGAAATGAGGAAAAAATTTGGAACACCTCCCAAAACAGAAAATGGAAAGAAATTATGAGAGGGCGTATATTGATATGAACTAGATAAATTAAAAAATGATTGAAGTTCATGTGAGAAAAGTGTTTGTTAGTTTTTCTATAAACAACAAAAAGAAAAATGTGTGATGAGACCATCATTAGTGATCCCATATCAAACTAGCAAAGTGATATTTTGACTTTGCATCTCACTTTTGGATGATATTGGACTTTGCACCACATTTTCAAAACTCTTAGACTTTGCACCCTATTTCTCCTAAAATGTCTTTGCCTTTGCACCCCATTCAAGATTTTTTCTTCACAAAATGTTGTAGATAGGGTGCAAAGTCTAAAAGTTTTGAAAATGGGCTACAAAGTCCAATATGACCCAAAAAGTGGGATGCAAACTCAAAAATCTCCTTCAATCATACCAAATTTCACGAGGAAGTCTTTGTAGTTGGCATATAGCAGTACAAAATTGTGTATTTATGCAAATAATAGTACCTTCCTGGCTCGGCGATCACAATTGGGATATCTTTAGGGAAATAATCTTGGATTGCACTGTTTATTGTGTTAGAAATGTGTTCGAATAGTTGTGTCCCCGCCCTAAAACCACCCCCGATGTTAAGTATGTGCATGGCTGGCATCCGGAGCTTAGCCGCCACATCAAACACCGCCCTCGCGGCTGCAATGGCATGGCGGTAGATGATGGGGTCTTGTGCTATAGACCCAACGTGAAACGAGACTCCGACAACCCGGATCCCGGCTACAACCGCATATTGGAGTAGTGGCTCGACTTCCTCCGTCAAGGCCCCAAATTTTTTACCGAGCGGTCGGAGTGAGCCATGGCCGTCATTCGGGGCCTTGATCCTCAACAAGAGGTTGCATTTGGGGTGCCACTTCTTCATCTTCTCAAGCTCCATCATGGAGTCGAAGGTGGCGAGGTTTACCCCAACGGCGGCCGCATACTCAATATGTGCGGCGGCCTTACAGGGGTTGGCGTAAATGATACGGTTTGGGGGGATGCCGAGTCGGAGAACCGCCTCCATCTCCCCTTGACTAGCGCAGTCAAAATTGGCACCTAGCATGGCAAGAGCAGCAAGAAAAGTGGGATCACTATTGCATTTCACAGCATAGAAGGGCTTAACTTGGGATAAACAAAGTTCCCATTTATCCATAGCCCTATCAAGAGCCCCCAAGTCTAGTACATAAAAAGGCTTTTGTCCATGTCCTTGATTCGCCGCCGCAGCAGCTATAGATTTTATGAGGTCTATCATTCCATGTTTTTGGATTTTGTGAACATGTCGGTTGCCTATTTGGCTTCTTGCACCCACCATTCTTTGGATTGAACTTATAAAAATTTATTCTCTAAAGAACAATATTGTTGAAAAAGTACATGTAATTAAGAATAGGTTACTATATATAAAAGTAAATATCTAATGAATAGTGATATAGTTTTTGATTTGGTAAAGGCATCTAAAGAGCATGGCATGCATGATTTAAAGTACAAAAGTAGACATTAATTTTATAGGCGTATCTTTGTTTTTGTACTACTTTACTATTACATGCTCTTTTGATGGTGTTATTCTAAGACATCTCAGCTAGCTAGCTCGCAAGCTAAACTAATTTGGTTGTGTTCTTGTGCTTTTGGTATTTTTTATTGTTGAATTTATCTTCTCCATTTTAGGCCTAAAAATTACTTTAAACACTATACTTTCACAAAATTATCTTTGTCATGATACTTTAGGTTACTTTTATGGATCATTCTTATTGTACACATAAGTCATACACATTTTGTATACACACTCCTAGTTTCCTACTTTTATTACCTTATATTTAGGGGGCCGGGTTTCCCTCTTATAGTAATACTACTAATACTAAATTTCAACTAATAAAATGACAAGTGTGAACAAATATGAACATGACCACCACAATGTTTAATCGTTTATCAGCAGAGTCGTCTACAACAATTTTGAGGGTCACGGTCCAAATTTGACCAATAACACATGGCTATTCAAATAGTCATTTTGGAGAGGAAAATTAAGAAAAAATTCCATAACTATTACTCTTTAAAATGTGATGGACAAAATATTACTTATCTACTCCGTATTAGTTACTATAATTGTGTTCAAAATTTACATCGCAGTCACTAAATGTAAGTTACTATGATACTAAGTCATATTTTTGTCCATGACATTTTTATTAGTGTAATGTTTAAGAAAAAACCCCAAAAATTAATTAGAGCCACTACAAAAGATTAAAGTATGAGTTTAAGTGTTTAGGGATGGGTGTGGCTGGAAGGTGTTTAGGAATATGGAATTGGGACATAACCCTTGTATGAGTACAGAGGATATCGGATGACTTTTCACTTTCCAAAATAAGACGTGTGACTTTTCACTTTCCAAAAGTAGGATCAATTTTCAATTGGACAAAAAAGAGACTAACATACGGAAGAAAGAGACATATCAAATTAAAGCCATGCGCCATCTATCGCCATTTCAGTAACATATGGAAGCAAGAGACGAACCACTTCCGACGCCGGAGACGGCGACCACCAGCGACGCGACCGCCAGCAACCAACCATAGTGAAGTTCGTCGCAACACCATTGCTGGTCAATAACATTGTCACCGCCACGAGCATTATCGCCGCCTCCAAGGCCATTATTGCCGCCGTTGGTTTCTAATCGGACAATTGGATATACTCTTTCCTCTTGTTCTTCTTCTTTCTTTTACCAGACAATTTGCAATCGCTCAATCGATTGGTGGGGGCGGTAGTTAGGGTGGTGGCGAGGGAACGACGGTGGAAGGGGTTGGGGAAGGGGCTGCTGGGGGCTTATGAAAGGTGCTTGAGGGGGTTTTGGGGGCCTTTGAGGGTGCTGGATGGGGGCTCTTGGGTGTAGGGGTTGAAGGGGGCTGGGGGAAGATGCTGCATGGCTGCAGGGGTTTGGGTGAGGGTGGTAGAGGGGGGCTGTCGGTTGCTGGCGGTTGGGGGAGAGTGTTGGAGGGGGGCTGGGTGGTGATGGGTGGAGGCTGTCACCACCGGGTGGAGGCGGAGATCCCCGTCGGACGACAACAGTGGTCAATGTGGTGGTCGGGGGAGGCGGTGGTCGGGGCGGCCGTGTCGGTGTTGTTGTTGAATTGGTCGTGGTCATTAATTGGGTTGGTCACTGGTCGAATTGGTCACGAGGATTTGTCATGATCGAATTGGTCACGGTCGGATTGGTCACGATCGGTTTGGTCATGATCGGATTGGTCATGGTCGGATTGATCATGATCGGATTGGTCATTGGTCAGGTTGGTCACTGGCCGAATAAGGATGTTTTCTTTTGGACTGTTCTCAGTCCCAAACCAGACCAGATCAGACTAGACCTGACCAGACCTGACCAGACTTTCGTAGTTATAAAATACACAGAGGACAGACGTTTAGCAGACCAGTTCAGACCAGACCAGCAAAATTCAGTCCAAAAGAAAACATCCTTAGTCACTGACCAGGTTGGTTATGGTCAATTGTAGTAGTATAGTCTCATATTTGGAATTCTTTAAAAGTCGTCTTATATTTGTCCATAGCACTTGTTTTAGTACTCCAAAATAGGAGTAAATAGTAGTTCGTAGTATTATTTAGGGAAAGTTCCTGAAATAGGTCTAAAAAGTTTGAAAATTCTAAAATAGGACTGTCATGTTTTTATTCCCAAAATATGAGTAATTACTGCTAAGTTTGGGAAATAGTGACATGTTTAAAGTCTGATACTGTCATAACATGACATTAATTAGTCCTATTTTGGGAATAAAAACATATCAGTCTTATTTTGAAAATTTCAAACTTTTTTGGTCCTATTTCGGATACTATTCTCTATGTTTTTTTTTTTGAAAAATATTCTCTATTATTTATGGACAAACCGACAAACCCCATTTAAATTGTAAGATGAAATGAAAATGATGGGTATTGAAAAAAATCAATATATATATATAAAAGAAGAACTTTTTAAGAGCATACAAAGCGCCACATAATCCTGCCATGTCATTATATGTATTAATTATTTAGTTATTTTTATACCTTCTATTTTTATTAGCTAGATTCTATTTTTGATTGCATATTGATATGGAAACAAAAATCCGTAGAAATCCACCTTAATTAATTTGGTAACTTTTTCAAAATCCATTACATATTTGATAAGTATTAAATTCAGTAATTCGAATCACAACAATTAATAACCAAATTTTAAGCACAGACTCACGGAGTAACAATCATTTAATTATTACATTCTATTAAAGAGATGAAGTATTCGTTTTTTGCCCACTTCACAAATAAATCAGCCAAATTGATATTAATTTTGTCTTCACAGTAATTTGATAAAAATAAAAATGTAATAACAGTGTCTCATTTCCTAAAATGTAATATTTTATTTTTCTAAACTCAATGTTGAGACAATGATCAAAATTCTCTTTTCGAAAGAGATAATGATTAAAATTCTAAACCCCATATTTGCAACTGTGTTAATACTTCGCATTTTGCTCCATCTTCATACAATTCTTTCTTAATTATTAAAATAATGATAAAAATTATAACCACCATATAATTGAAATTAAAAAACGAAATTAAAACTATTAGATATTCTAATATAGAATCTTAAAAAGAATACTTCTGATCAAGTTGCTTACCTTATTTAATAAGGATGAAAACTGGTATCATACATAAATAGATACATGTATGTATATTTTCACAAGTAAATACGTTTAGGCCTAGCAAAAATAAATAAATATGTTTGGTTATTTCTTTATTTTATAACTACAATTTAAATGTGCCTTCACTTTTGAAATACATTCCTAATCCAAATTAGAAAATCTTTCTATGATTACAAATTCCTACTTTTATTTTAATAGATTTTTTTTAATTGGATTGATTTCAGTTCCAGATTAAATCAGATCAAATTAAACTTTAATAATAATAATAATAATAATAATAAGTCACATAAAATGTAAAACAAACATCTACCAAACCATATTAATTCATACCAAATCAAACCCAAAATTTTAATTCAATTAAAAAAGTCTTTATTAATGGGTAAAATGTAAGATCTCACAATTAAAATTTTAAAATGTATATTTCATACCAAGTTGAATGAAAAATACTAGAAAAGTATTTTTTTTTCTGAAATGCTCAATAAAGTAATTTAGTGTTTTCAATGTAACGAAATAATGAGTAAAATGTTAACAAAAAACTTCATTTTTTTTTACATTTACGGCGTGACAAAATAATGAGTAAAATATAATATCTTATTATTAAAAGTGAAAAGTATGCACTCAGTATTCTACATCAAGTTGAATGTGAAATAGTAAAAAAAAAACTGAGGTGCATAATAAAGTAATTTAGAGGACGTGAGATTATGAATTCTATAAAATCAGGTTCAAAGCAATTATATTTACTCGAGATGCTTATGTAGAAAATCAATTTAACTATTTTTCATATAATCTTTTCTTGGCTTCATAAATGGAATATATTTTACATATTTTTTTCATTCAGCCAGAATTTAATCAATTTCAGTAAAATAAGTTAATTCGATCTATCATAGTGTTGGGATATATTATCCCGGCCTATTACTATTCAGGAGCCCAAGGCTTTACGTAGTACGGAGCCCGAGCAGCTAGGCCCCTTTCGGCCCATCCGGCCCACTTTAGCCATTTGGGCCCACTCCGGCCCATGCGGCCCATTAGGGTGGAGAGCATCCCCTTCCCCTATTCTCTATAAATATGGGAGTTTCCCTCCATATTAGGGATCCCTTCCTTCTTCCTTCTTCTCTAGATTAGCTTGATCCTCCATTAATAGGAGCTTGAATATTGTACTATGTAATGGTGAGGAGAGTCCTAATGAGAATGAGAGGGCTTGGACATTAGCCTAAAAAGTCCCGTGGTTTTCTCCCTTTCCGGGTTTCCACGTAAAAATAGCTTGTTCATACACATTTATACATATATTTACTATATCGTGTTGGATTGAACTCAACACTGGCGCCGTCTGTGGGAATCAGTTCAAAAAGACTAAGCGTGTTCTTCAGCTTCAAGGGAAACTTGATACGAATGGACTGATTTCAACGAAAAAATAAACGAAAAAGATGCTGGGAACACCCAGATCCAAAAAGAATCGGAAGAAGCAGCCACGGCGGACCCAGCCAGGTGTTGGCACCACACCGGCGGGCGTCGTAGCAGGCCGGGGACTCATCCACCTCGCCGGTTAGTATGGTTTCCCTCTGCTTCGGTTACAGCTCAACCTCGAGCCAGGTAATTTCCCGCCATTAATGGCGGTTTGGAGCTCAGAAAGTGTGTACTTCGGAGTTCAGCCGACTTCCCATCGGAGACTATCCTCTCTGGCCGCCTCCGCTCTGCTGCGACCACCATCCTCACCGGCGGAAGTGGCCGGCACATGCGGCTCGCTTTTCTAAAGGATACTCTGTATATTGCTGCTTGGACCTAAGCGCACCACGTCCGCGAAATCCAGACCAAGTAAAAGGGGCGATTTCTTGGGGAATTTGACCAAGTCAAGTTGGGGAATTCCGATAGTAAACCGAGGCCATCTGGCTTGGACGTACGTCAACTTGGGATTTAGATTGGCTGAATAATTGGAGCCCTCGGCTCTTGGGCAAAGTTGTGGAGAATTTTGACCAAAGTCAAAATTGGCAGGAGAAGACCAAATGTGACTCTGCAAGCCATGCTGGCCGAGACTTTATCCCCAAAAGCTAAGTACCCATACTTAATTTTAAGTTGGTACATTCAATTGTTGTTTAAAATATTAGTATTGCTAGTATTTTTATCACCATTATTTATTAGAGAATAAAACCTCCCAAAATTAAATAATGCCGAACGATGCTCTTGTGATAATTAGTTTTCACCGTCATTTTTATTAATGATTGGTTGTTGTGGGCCAGTCGGCCTGCCCCTGATCGGCTTTAATTAGCGAACGGAGCATACCTGAATGGCCTTGGATAGGATAATATCATTGCTATTACCTGTTATATCACTATTATTTATTAGGGATAAAATGTCCCGAATTAAATAAAGCTGAGCGAGGCTCAAGTGATGGTTAGTTCGGCCAACATTTTATTGAATATTTAATTTTTTGTGGGGCCCGTTGGCCCACTCTCGATCAGCTGTGATTAAGTGATCCGAGCGTCTCCAGAAGGGCGATGTCCCGACGACGCATTTTAATTGGAGGGTTGCGCATTAGTCCGCACGGCACTACGTGCCCGATCGACGATCATACCCTAGTATCATTTACGCCATTAGGCGCGAAATGACTATTGCCAAACGTGGCCTGTGGGGCCCGAAGGCACCAAAGCACCCAACCTCCTTTTTGTGAGGGCAGTGCGACCAACTTGGGTCTGAGTTTGAAAACTCACGGACCGATGAATATCACTATGTGACGTTCGGCGGGCTGCTAATTGGCCCCGCCGCGAGCTGTTACGTCCAGCAATTCCGCACGGTGAGCCGGGCCGAGGCTCGCTGTTAGTGCAATTATTTGGCAATATATTTTGCATTAAAGAGAGTTGATCACAAAAGTTAAAGAGGCTTAATGATGGCTGTTGTAACGGATTTGTGTTTATTGCTGGAGTTATCAACGATATTAAGGCTGGAGGTTACTTATTTTTGAGCTGGCCAACATTGATGACGAGTTGCGAAACCGACGACGGGTCGGAACCGTTACGTCAAACCGCCAAAACAGACAAATTGAGTCATTGAAGCGTCAAGAATATCATTTTTAAATATTGTAACGTTTTTTGTACATTATTAGGCTCCTTAATGTGATTAAGGAGGGTATTAAATGTGTTTGACCAGCCTTTATGACGGATTTGAATCCGTCGGTACGTAACGGATGGCCAATCCGTCAATAACGGAAAAAACCATCATTAGAGCTTTAATTGCTTTTCCTATAAATAGAATAGCCTCATTGTAATCAAGGCAGCTGAAACATTCGAATAATACTCAAGTTTTCCTTCTTGTTCACTCTCTTGTCATCTCCTTCTCTATTCTTGTTCGAAGCCCTTTCTTTATACGAATTCCTTTTTAATTAGTTTTAGCTTATCAATATTTTGCTTAAACAATTTGGCGCCCACCGTGGGGCATCGTGCAAGAAAGAGTTTAGATATGGCAGGAACAAATCAATTGTTGATTGAATTCCATCAACAATTGGAGACAGTCCGAGAGGAGATTCGGCGTGAGATGGCGGAGAGGATGGCCCTTCTTCAACGGGAGAACGATGTACTTCGGTCCCAGGTACAATCCGCAGTGTCAATAGCCTCGAATTCAAGGCCCAACCGGAGAACTGACCTTATGAATGCTGCCACAAGGTTGGATCTCGGAGTCTCCCCGCCATCGACGACTCCACTCGCGGCATCGACGGATCCAGTATCTCTTACGCTGGGTCTGTCGCCAACGCCGACTGGAGAGCCATACTCGACGGTCATATCGCAAGTCATCCCATATACGCCACTCGTGCCAGAGACGACGCCACCAGCCAACATACCAGTTTGTTTCTTCCCGGAAACCCTTCGGGTCAGATCGAACGGGTTAGGCTTGCAGGCAGCAACTCAAAGCATGCCGGCGACGAATCTGCATTCCATCCCGACGGAACCATCAATTCCCCACTATAGGAGCACAACCTGTGGAAATCCCGGTCCGTCCAACTCTAATCCGTCAACAGGTGCGACTCATGTCCCGACGGAACCGTCGGTTCCTCGTTACCAAAGCAAAACTTACGGAGACGCTGATCCGTCAAGCTTCATGCAGGATGCCAGACGTAACGGGCCTAGTGTGTCATTTCTGGAACCTCAGACGCAACGCCTTGGCAGACCTGTCATTACATCAGCGCCGACATTACCTGAACGGCGCCCTGAGATAATATTCATTCCGTCACCGACCCGACCTGAAGTCACCCAAATGGTCGGACCAGCGACTTCGACTCCATTGTCAATTCACCCGGTCATAGCAGATCAAATGTCCATGATGATGGAACAAATGCGTCAGATGCAAGATAAGATCAACGGATTGCCATGGGCACCCCCACCCTTGGACAGAGCATCGAGAACGTGTTACGCAGAGTCTCCATTCAGCAGACGGATTACTGAAGTCGAGATACCCAGGAAGTTCGTCGCCCCTTCCATGAAGATGTTCGATGGTACGTCCGACCCGGTGGAACATGTTGCCCAATACAAACAACACATGCTGACCGTATCACTTCGACCAGACCAAAGGGAAGCATGCATGTGCATAGGATTTGGAGCGACACTTTCAGGACCGGCCTTAACCTGGTTCGTCAACTTGCCAAATGAGGCTATCAATTCATTTGCTGAGCTCGTCGACTTGTTTAACCAGCAATTCGCAAGTAGTCGCGTTTTGGAGAAACAAACAAGTGATCTATACAGAGTTGTTCAGCGACGAGGGGAATCATTGAGGGATTATCTTCATCGTTTCAACAAAGAGAAAGTGTCGATTCCAAGGTGTGACATACCAACGGCAATTGAGGCATTCCGAAGAGGTTTGATCGACGATTCAGAGCTGTACCGTGAACTGACGAAATACCCTCTTCGATCCTTCGAAGATGTCCAAGCAAAGGCATTGGCTTTCATCCGCCTAGAAGAAGACTTACAATCCCGTCTTGGACATGTTGAGCATGATTGGGGGCACGGGAAATCAGAATCTCCTTAGAGACATGATTACAAGTCTGGGAAACCTTATTCAAGACCTGAGCAACGAGTCGTCATTCCATGACGAGATGAACAAGACAAGGTACCCTTCTTTTTCCGATGATAGACAGATTTTAAAGTGCTGCAACACGGTACCCTTAAAGTTGTTTCATTTTCAGTTTATTGCTTTCTTTTGCATATTGTCATCATTTCTATGACGAATCACTTCTGTGATGACTCACTTCTGTGACGAATCACTTTCATGACGAATCACTTTCATGATGAGTCATTTCCGTGACGAGTCATTTCTGTGACGAGTCACTTCTGTGACGGGTCACTTTCGCGGTGAGCCTAATCGCGACAAGTCACTTCCATGACGAGTCACCTTGGTAACGAGACGATTTTAATCATCGGATGGGGGGCATATTGTCTGACGATAGACGTGTTCTAATGTAAGATATGTGTTTAATTTTGTATACAAGTGCTAAATTCATTGCTTTCCTTTACCTGAAAACAATCACTAACTTAATCGTCGGAGGGCCGTTGGCTTAAGGCCAATGACCAATCCTAGCGACGTTTTAAGTGCAGGAAACCAAATGAGGTGCCAGGTAAGTCTCTTTGATACGTCGCACGTCCTCGTAAGTTCAATTAGAAGTCCATGACGTATTGGGTACGATGGATCTGTCAAAGCGTCATGGTTAGTCTGTACGTCACTTTGAGGTCGTGTCTTACTTTCTAATTTGACGCCTGGCAGAACTGCAATTTTAACATGCAAATCTTATGTCATTTATAGACTTGGTATTTTGGATTGCTAAATCCTCAATAGTTAATAATCTTTGCATTTTCCTTCAAATCATTTTTGTAACTTATCTTAGCCGTGAGCTTTAGTTCAATATATTTTGGGGTCCTCCGTGGGATCATACTATTGTCATTCCGCTGAAAGAATGTTGTGACATATTCAGTGTAAAGTAAACATTTCCGTTTCAAGATAGATTCATTGCTTTTACTGACTTAACCATTTGAGGGTCGTTGGCCTAAAGCCAACGACCAGCTTTGACGGTTTTTAATGGATGCAGGACTATCTCGACGCATAAGACCAATCAATTACTGAGGCAACTAAGATTTCAACCATGCTCTTGCCAATTACATATTACACACTAACATCAAATGGGAAAGGGCTGGGCTGCCCATGAGAAGATCATGGATAACAGTCCCAGCCGGCCCTTACAACATATATATTTTTGGCCAAAACTTACACACATATATGACAACGCACGTGCAACCAAAACATATATGACACCGCACGTGCAACCGAAACGTATATGACAACACACGTACATCAAAAAAATACAGAACTACACAACAAAAGCACATGCTCCAACATAAGGAGACAATACAAACGACAAACGTAATGCCATATTTAAAGTTTTTGCAGGATATGAACCAAGTTCACACAACACATCTCGTCATCTTCAACGATGGATGATGTTCCCGTCGCTAGATGAAGTGTCGACATCAATGTGAAAGATGTTGTAGAATTTCTGTCACCGAGTCGTCAAGACAATTTTGGAGGAGAGAAGATAACATGTCAGGCTTCAGATTTTGTTGTTTTAGTTGAGGAGATGGATTCGATCAACGCTAATTCTGAAGAAAGACGGAAATGTTTCATCAACCGAAGCTGTCAACATGTCACCACAAGTCGTCGATAGACGCAGTGAACCAAGAGGTGAAGTGTTGCTCTTTCAAAATTTCGACAAGTTACCGCTTAATGATCCGACCATGCATTGTACGCGCCAACTTCTCGAAAGGGGCAATTGTTAGTGCAATTATTTGGCAATATATTTTGCATTAAAGAGAGTTGATCACAAAAGTTAAAGAGGCTTAATGATGGCTGTTGTAACGGATTTGTGTTTATTGCTGGAGTTATCAACGATATTAAGGCTGGAGGTTACCTATTTTTGAGCTGGCCAACATTGATGACGAGTTGCGAAACCGACGACGGGTCGGAACCGTTACGTCAAACCGCCAAAACAGACAAATTGAGTCATTGAAGCGTCAAGAATATCATTTTTAAATATTGTAACGTTTTTTGTACATTATTAGGCTCCTTAATGTGATTAAGGAGAGTATTAAATGTGTTTGACCAGCCTTTATGACGGATTTGAATCCGTCGGTACGTAACGGATGGCCAATCCGTCAATAACGGAAAAAACCATCATTAGAGCTTTAATTGCTTTTCCTATAAATAGAATAGCCTCATTGTAATCAAGGCAGCTGAAACATTCGAATAATACTCAAGTTTTCCTTCTTGTTCACTCTCTTGTCATCTCCTTCTCTATTCTTGTTCGAAGCCCTTTCTTTATACGAATTCCTTTTTAATTAGTTTTAGCTTATCAATATTTTGCTTAAACACTCGCGATAGCCATAGGCCGGTAATCGTGGATGTTAAAGAGAGAGCCATGTAGATGGCTATGTGTGTATACATATTGTCGGGCCGTGCGGCCCGTTATCATGCTTATTGCACAGATTGGAGCCGCTCGACGCGTTCGAGCGAAATGATTAAAAGACGCTCGACCCGAGTCTTGAAGACGCTCAGGGCTAGCTAAAGAGGAGACCATCACGGCTGAGGACCGTGAGACGAGCATCTCCACCCCAGAGACCGATGGCCTAGGAGAGAACACCTAGAGGCCGAGGGTCTAGAGTGGACTACCACGGCGGAGGACCGTGAGACGATCATCCATCATTCAGAGGCCGAGGGCCTAGAGGAGACCATCACGGTCGAGGGCTGTGAGACCATCCTTACATCAGGTCGACCTCTCATTGCCGACACTATGATATCACGGCCGGCCTCTCGGCACGGCGTGTGTTCCATACTTGAAGACCGGCCTCGTCCCCGCTCCTCGCGGATGAGAGCCGTTGCTTGATTCTCTCTGTCGGACCCTCGGCGCCGACACCATTATATATCACAACCGGCCTCTCGGCACGGCGTGATTACCTTATTTGAAGACCGGCCTCGTCCCCGCACTGCACGGATGAGGACCGTTGCTTGGTTTTTTCATGTCGGCCTATCATTGCCGACATCATTATATCACGACCGGCCTCTCGGCACGGCGTGATTATCTTATTTGAAGACCGGCCTCGTCCCCGCACTGCGCGAATGAGGACCGTTGCTTGGTTTTTTCATGTCCGCCTCTCATTGCCGACACCGTTATATCACGACCGGCCTCCCGGCTCGGCGTGCTTTCCATATTTGAAGACCGGTTTCATCCCCACACTGCGTGGATGAGAGCCGTTGCTCGGATATATCGGCCTGATCGGACACTATTGTCATCTCCTTGTCAGGACCGTCTGCTCAGCGACATTATGATCATTGTTTATCGGCTCCCAATGCCGACCTTCTTGAGTTAGCGATCGGACTCACCCCTCCCCTCCAGGAGGGTGACCATCGCCTTCACATGACGACCAGCTATTCCACCGCCTCGTCATTTTATTCGTTTTTGTATCCCACCACCATTATGTGTGACATCACTTGTGGTCATTCTTAGAACCGATGAACGTATTTTCCTCCCTCAAAAAAAAAAAAAGAAAAAAAAAGAAAAAAAAAAAGAAAAAAAAAAGATGGGGAGAAGGGGAGATGAGATCCTATGAGAGAGGGAGTCTTGTCGAGGTATGCCTGATCTTCCTTCACCGCGTATGACGAACGTCTCCCGACGCGGAGGCTAGTAGGAACGTGGGGGAGGCTAGACGTACCAAAGGGAACCTTGGCAAGATAAACCAGTTCCTCCCATTTCCCGTGGATCGATGAACACCTTCTGCCAAAGCAGAAGGCTAGTAGGGCCACGAGCATGGGACGACGAAGTAGGGAACCCGCGATAGGGTAAACCAGTTCCTCTTTGCGATCGGTGATTGACCGAACGTCTTCTTCGAGGGAAGAAGGCTAGTAGGATCACGACAGGGACGAGCGAAGAAACGGGAACCCTGACAGGGTGTACCGGTTCCTCCCCCTTATGGACGGATGACGAACGTCTTCTGCGAAGCCAGAAGACTAGTAAATCACGACTGGGGACGAACAGAGATAGGGAATCCCGACGTGGATAAAACTGTTTCTTCTCATAGTTGGGATGACGAACGTCTCCTGCGAAACCAGGAGACCAGTACTCACGAGACTTGGGAAGAACAAAGACCGAGTTCTTTACCGGAGTCTGTTGCGTGCCGAGTGTACACCGCTTAGCGGTCCATACATAGGACCACGGATACGGTAGACGAATGAAGACCAGCTCCATGGATCAGACACGAAGGACCAGTTCTTTACCGGAGTCTGTTGCGTGCCGAGTGTACACCGCTTAGCGGTCCATACATAGGACCACGGATACGGTAGACGAACGAAGACCAGCTCCATGGATCAGACACGAAGGACCAGTTCTCTACCGGAGTCTGTTGCGTGCCGAGTGTACACCGCTTAGCGGTCCGTACATAGGACCACGGATACGGTAGACGAACGACGATCAGCTCCCCAGATCAGGTAGGAGGGACATCGCCCAGATTTATTTCAGGCTCACCATTCCTTCCCGGATGGAGTCCTGGCAGACGATCGGCTTCTCACAGCCAGTCAGGAGAGAGACTTGACACATCACCAACACGGCCGAGGGCCGTGAGACGATTATCACTCACCGACAGGCCGAGGGCCATGAGAGGATCATCACCCGTCTTATGCAGTACGATCGACCCCTCAGCGCCATCGTACCCAGCTCACGTTCAGCTCGTCCATCCCTTCCAGGGTGGCGACGAACGTCTTATGCATCACGATCGGCCCCTCAGCGCCATCGTGTCCAGATTCACGGTTCGGCTCGCCCATCCCCTCCAGGATGGCGACGACCGTCTTATGCAGTACGATCGGCCCCTCAGCGCCATCGTACCCAGCTCACGTTCAGCTCGTCCATCCCTTCCAGGGTGGCGACGCACGTCTTATGCATCACGATCGGCCCCTCAGCGCCATCGTGTCCAGATTCACGGTTCGGCTCGCCCATCCCCTCCAGGATGGCGACGACCGTCTTATGCAGTATGATCGGCCCCTCAGCGCCATCGTACCCAGCTCACGTTCAGCTCGTCCATCCCTTCCAGGGTGGCGACGAACGTCTTATGCATCACGATCGGCCCCTCAGCGCCATCGTGTCCAGATTCACGGTTCGGCTCGCCCATCCCCTCCAGGATGGCGACGACCGTCTTATGCAGTACGATCGGCCCCTCAGCGCCATCGTACCCAGCTCACGTTCAGCTCGTCCATCCCTTCCAGGGTGGCGACGAACGTCTTATGCATCACGATCGGCCTCTCAGCGCCATCGTGTCCAGATTCACGGTTCGGCTCGCCCATCCCCTCCAGGATGGCGACGACCGTCATATGCAGTACGATCGGCCCCTCAGCGCCATCGTACCCAGCCCACGTTCAACTCGTCCATCCCTTCCAGGGTGGCGACGGACGTCTTATGCATCACGATCGGCCCCTCAGCGCCATCGTGTCCAGATTCACGGTTCGGCTAGCCCATTCCCTTCCAGGATGGCGACGAACGTCTTTATGCAGCACGATCGGCCTCTCAGCGCCATCGTGTCTGGCTCATGTTCGACTCGCTCATCCCTTCCAGGATGGCGACGAACGTCTCTTATGCAGCACAATCGGCCCCGCCGTGCCCGTTGTGTCGGGTTCATCTCCGGATTGCCCATCCCTTCTAGGATGGCGACGACCATCTTACGCAGCACGTCTGCCTCTCGGCGCTGACATGCCCGGGTTATCGATGAGAGCCACCGCTTTCTATCACATCTCACATTCCTTCTCTCATACATTGCACCCATACATCACATGCATTCATGCATTCATGCATCATACCTCATACATTCATACATACACACGTGCATCATGTTTTGACAGTACCGCGACGTCGGTTTATAGATGATGGACCTCTAAGCTTCTCCGATTGGAAAGCTCGAGTCAGAGTCCTTTACTCCCGCCTGATGCATTCAGGGGGAGTGTGAGCGTGGAGGAGCACCCTTCGCCCGACCCCGTCGGGAAGGGGGGTGCCTCACCGGCAGACTACGTTCAGGAGTGCAGACACTCACTCAGATATTATGATTATGTGAAGACACCGTTTCCAGCAAGACAGAGGAAGAGCGCAGGCAGAGTATATTTTCTCGAGCAGATCCGCGAGCTCACTACTCAAGAAACTGGGGGACTTGTGTTGGGATATATTATCCCGGCCTATTACTGTTCAGGAGTCCAAGGCTTTACGTAGTACGGAGCCCGAGCAGCTAAGCCCCTTTCGGCCCATCCGGCCCACTTTAGCCATTTGGGCCCACTCCGGCCCATGCGGCCCATTAGGGTGGAGAGCATCCCCTTCCCCTATTCTCTATAAATATGGGAGTTTCCCTCCATATTAGGGATCCCTTCCTTCTTCCTTCTTCTCTAGATTAGCTTGATCCTCCATTAATAGGAGCTTGAATATTGTACTATGTAATGGTGAGGAGAGTCCTAATGAGAATGAGAGGGCTTGGACATTAGCCTAAAAAGTCTCGTGGTTTTCTCCCTTTCCGGGTTTCCACGTAAAAATAGCTTGTTCATACACATTTATACATATATTTACTATATCGTGTTGGATTGAACTCAACACATAGTATTATCAAACAGACTATAAATTAGACTAATTTTATTTTTCTTTTAAATCACATTACATATGATCCGGAAGAAATCAAATTTCAAATTAACTAAATTACATATTGCGATGCACGGGCTTGAAAGCTAGTAAAGAAATAAGCAAAAATAATCTCACGTCATAAATGACATTAATTAGTTCTATTTTGGAAATAAAAATTCGAATACTATTCTCTATGTTTTTTGAAAAATATTCTCTATTATTTATGGACAAACCCCATTTAAATTGTAAGATGAAATGAAAATGATGGGTATTGAAAAAAATGAAGAAATAAGCAAAAGTTAATCTCGCGCCAGGTAGGGGTCGAACCTACGACCTTCTGCTTAGGAAACAGACGCTCTATCCACTGAGCTACAGGCGCTTTTGTTTAATAAGAAAGAACGTACACCAATATATTCAATATTATAATGAACGTCCAACTGGTTTGGGTCTACCGTCTACGTGGTTTTCTCGCTCAATACCAACTGGTTTGAAGACGGATTCCGATACTGAGACCAGTTGTTCTTCAATCTTCATCGAGTAAGGCTCCTCACCATAATTACTGGCGAGTAGTTAGTTTCAGATAATCATGATATGAGTTTCCTTATTACCGAAATTGTATGATTTTTTAATGGTATTCCTTGGAAAGCTTCCAAGTAGAAGGCATACTAGTACTCCTTAAAAATCATACATTGGCAGCAGCCATGGAAGACTTCCACGCAGAATCAGTGAATTGCAGGAGAGAAGTAGAGAAGGCAATCACAGAGAAAGTAAGGGAGGTCATCTGCTCCATCAAAGAAGCAAGCCACGTCGACCAAGTTATCGCAGCTCTTCACTCTATTGCCATTCTGCTATTCCCTCTCGATTCTCGCTCCTTCTTAGGTTCTCGTACAGCTGAAATTATTATATGTTAGGGAAATCATATTATTCAGGTTAAAACTAATTTTTAAATACATACTTTTCTCTTTGTGAATTTCAGGTAGTATTGATGAGCAGTACAAAGAACAGGTACACCTGACTTTTATGTGTGTATATATATATATATATATATATATATATATATTTTAATTTGCTTAGATAATGACACATTTTGATATGCATCCCTAAAAGTTTGTGAAAATTTGGTTATCCGCAAGATACAAAGCGCTCTGGTGCCGGATTCTGACAAGAGAAGTGAATGGCATCAGATTTTCTACAAGGGTGCTGCATTTCGCATGCTAGCTCATGTTTTATTATATGGTAATGAATGAAAGATTGAAAAATTCGTTTTTCATTGGTTGCATATGATGGATCTTTTTTATACTATAAGTGTATAGTCATTTGCAATGAATGATGAATTGCCATTTTGCATTTTCCATACATTAGTTCTTCTCTTAAACGTGGAGGGCTCCTAATGCAATGCTGATAATATAGGTGTGGCTTTGGATTGGCTAGCATGCTTCCCCACTTCTGCAAGGGTACACGTTTATGATGTGTTTTTTATAAACGGACATTTCACTGAGGTCATCCAGGCACTAGTTCCTTCTTTACAAGGAAGAAATATTGACACTCGGGATCTCAATATAGTGTGCTTGAATGCTGAAAGGTAAATACAACTAACAAAAAGACGCTCATTATTGTCTTAAGCTCGCATATCAGTCTCTTTACATTCGATTTCTCACAATGCTCGTCACATTGCCTACAATGTTTTATTAAATTAAAATATCTCCTTGTATATATATGCAAAAGCATATTGGCATAAACCAACAGAAGCTCCTTATTCTCTAAATTATTCATATCAGTGTTTTCACATCCGTTTTCACATAATGCTCATCACATTGCCAACATGTTTATTGAACTAAATCATCTCCTTGTATATATCTGTAAAAGCATATAGGCACAAACCAACAAATTCTCCTTATTCTCTAAATCTTATATATCAGTGTTTTCACATTCGTTTTCACATAATGCTCGTCACATTGCTAACATGTTTATTAAATTAAAATCTCACATTGTATATATCTATAAAAGCATATAGGCACAACTTCTTAATGTATGCCCCACTGTCGGTCATCATTTTCCACATTCATTTACATCCTGGACAACTAGAAAGGGGTTAGTTCCAAGAAACATTCATCTTTTCCCCTCTTTTTTTCCTATTTCTTATCCTTTTATCCTTATATATAAATATTATTTTTATCCTTTTTTATTTTATCTTTTATATGTATATTCATCTTTTTTATATTATCTTTTTATAATAGCTTATCTTTTTTATCTTTATTTTCTTTCTTCTCTTTTTGGTGATATCATGTATCAATTCATGTTAGCCGACCCCAATATCTTTTGGGACTAAGGCTTGGATGTTGTTGTTGTTGTAGTTGACTTAATATGAGATGTAAGATTTGATATGAACTCCAGGCGCTGGTTATTAGCAATCTTTTATCAATGTTCCATTCAAGAGCAATTGATGCTATATGTAGTGTATATAGAATTCACTTGCCTTCATTAGGTGTACATTAATAATAGCATATCCTGTGTCTTTCCTTCACAATATCCATGGCAGGTTACTTCTTCTTTGCTTGTTTGAGAATGATGGACTACTCCGGATTGTTATAGAATTTTCCAGTGACTCTCGAACCAAAGGATATACCCATGAGTCTGTCCAGCAGATTATTTTCCAAGTATCACAACTTATTACTTCTATTCCTGACAAAGCACGAACAAGAGCGCCCACTTCGCTCTCTTCATCGTATCCTTTTATTTTTCCTCACTCTTCAATAAAAATGTTTGCACCTTATGGCATGTGAACATGTCTCACATTATTTATATACTACCCCAGTCTCACTAAAATTGGGATATAAAGAGGTGGTTCGGTTATTAAGAAAAGGGGGTTTATATGGTTGGCATTGAATTGATAAAGTAGGAATGAAGTCATAATGATATAGAGCCGCACGAACATTACCATATTTGGTATGAGACAAACTTAGTGGGAGGGTGGAAAAAGAAAAAAAATTGGGCAAAGACATTGGGATGGAAGGAGTATTAGTTAGTGTCTTGGTTATTAGTTGAAATAACAGTTTCCTTTTTTCTTTTTATTCTCTTTCTCTATTACTCCCTCCATCATTCTGTCCCTAAAATAAATAACACATTCTCCTCTTTGGTCCATTCCAATTTTTTTCCCTATTTCCTTTTGAGGAAAACATTATGTGGTTCATGTTATTTCTTTCTCCTCTAAATAAATTTCATTCACAAAATTTTATTTTCTTAACCTCAATGTGCGGTCAAATTGTGATGTTATTTAGGGACAAAGGGAGTATATTCATTATAGTTTTTTTTGTTATTATTATTATTATTATTATTTTATATTATTACATAATTTACTTTTGTTTTATTTTTTGCATTTTGCGTCTTTGAGTATTTATTTGTTTATTTGTTTATTGTATTGTGATGAGGTTTGGAAGGTTGGTCTAAGAAGTGTCTTTACCAATATAATTGCAATCTGGTACTGTACATGCCATTTTAATTTCTGTTTACATTTTTTTGGACTAGCTTGTTTTCTTAACAATCAAATATTAGATTATTTTATAAGCGTATTACCACCCAACTACTTGATGGAGCAGAAGAGTCAGACAGGAATTCAGATGAAACATTGTCCTTTGATAAAAACAAAACTGATTTTTCTCTTCTATTTATTGGCCAAGCATTTACTCGCATTTGTCGGCGAGGGTTTGCAGGTGGTTTATATTATTGCAAGCTACGTATCGTCTTGCACTGAAATGGGGAAAAAGATATAACTGTATGAACCAAAGTTTTTAATTTTCTCAGATGTGCTGTTAAGTGTGCTGATTCCTAGAATCCTCAAAAGTGTTCGTAGCCTTCTAGGGCCGAATGCTGATTTGACTGTTAGTGAAGCATTTGAGTCAAAACCTGGTCTTCGTTTTTTCCTGAAGATAATGGAGGCAGTTCAAGATCCACACTCAGTAGAAAGGTTGTCTGAACAACTTCTGAATCAACTAGCAGCTCAAAAAGTGAGAGATGATGAAGCATATTGGATTTTATGGATCTTGTTTCACCGTATCTATGAGCAAAAAACATCAATTAGGTATGGCAGTACCTGCTTTAAATTCTCAGTACTGAAATATTAGAATCTCTCTCAACACCATTGAATTATTATTCTTGGCATATAGAACAGGCTTCTGATTTTTTCATTTGTTATTCAGTTACCACACATATGAATCTGAACTATATTGGTAATTGTGTACAGATGGTTGTTAATTAATAACGTGACGTGCCTGATAAATGCTTCGTTTAGTAGCCACTATTGACTTAATTTGCGAATGAGCAGAATAATTAGTTTTGACTTACTTACTTAGCTGAATGGAAGTTACTAAACTCTTTTCCTTTAATAAATTTCAGCAAGTTCTCACCCATCTGAGCTAGATAACCCTTACCAAACATGCACTAAAATCTCCCTCATGTGTTCAGGCATATTTTGGCTTCATTGGGCACTTTTGCATTTAATTCATTGACGAATATTGTATAGTAAAACTTGCATTGAGGAATTCTCATCCTAAAAAATTTAGTTACTTGTATTGAAGGTATGTTGATACTTTTATCCTCGACTCAGGGTTGTGTCCTTTTTCCTTTTCAGATCCATGTTCCGAGATAAATTTTTACTTTGGAAAGTATTCCCTATATGTTGTTCAAGATGGATTCTCCACATTGCTGTTTTTGAATGTGCGCCTAATACTTCATTGGCTACAAAACACTGTAATGTCCGTGCTCATTTAGACACCGTGCAGCACCTTGCCATAGCATGGTCTAAAAAAGAATTTGTTCAATCAGCTACAATTGAGCAGCAAGCGTGTATCCTTTTTGTATCTTTTCTTTTTTAGGCTACAACCTTTTATTTTATAGCCTTGCAAAAAAAGTGTAAATGTGTATAGTGCGCTAGGTCTGATCCTTTCACCTTATTGTCGATTTATCGTATATGAGAGTGGTTGGAATTACTTATTTTCTGGGAATAATTGCTTCTTTGTGAAATAAATGCACTTTTTATTTAAAAAGAAGCGGTTGGAAAAATAGAATAAGTGATTTAACATCAAAAAACAGTTTACTGTCTATTTAAGAAAGATCAGATTGATGCTTTTTCAGAAATGCACTCTAAGTGCTTAAATAATACTCCCTCCGTTTCTAAATGAAAGTCACACTTTGACTTCATACATATTAAGAAAATAAATTTACTGAGAGATAAAATTTAGAGTACACTGTTTTGACACTGTTTTGCACTGTTTTAATATAGATTTGTTTACCAAATAAGGAAGTGTGCCTTTGTTTTGAAACATCCCAAAAAGGAAAGTGTGACTTTCATTTAGAAACGGAGGGAGGAAATACTTTTATGCTAAAAGCATGCACCTATCCTGTTTTACAATAATTTCACCCAAAAGGCTTTATATTTCCCTTTTATCTGTTTGGCACTTAAAACGCAATAATAGACATCACTGCTGCTTTAGGCCTTTGCCTAGAGAATATATCAAAGGAAGATTTAGATGCAACCAAAGATGCACTGCACTCAATTCTTCAGGGTGTTAGCTGTAAATTCTAACACGTTTTTTATGTTTGTTTGACTTCTTTTATTCTTAATACAATAGTATTATTTATTGCAAGCTATATACTTTCTTAAAATTGATGCCAGGTAGGTTGAACAGTCCTGATCATTTGGTCCGAAAGATGGCTAGCAATGTTGCTTTAGCATTTTCTCGTATAATTGATCCAAAAAATCCGCTGTATCTAGACGATAGCTGCCATGATGAGACAATTGACTGGGAGTATGGTTTAGGAAACTTTGAGAAGGGTTCTTGTCTTATGCCTAATTGCACTGATGAAGATATTAGCAGAAAAGAAGATTCTTCATCCATATCAGAAAGAAAGGAGTTTGATAACAGAAGTCATGATGATATGTCCAACAATATGATGGTTAATTGTAAGCGACTGCATGAATGCAAAATGGTTGATCCTGATGAGATTGTTGATCCCGCATTGTTAATTACTGAGCTGGCTCCTTATGAAGACGATGATGATATCACAAATGAAGATTCTGAATCCTCTAGTGATTCGTCATTGCAGCCTTATGATTTAGTAGATGATGACACAGATTTGAAAAGAAAATTCTCGCAGTTGGCTGATGTGATCGGAGCACTAAGAAAGCCTGATGATGCTGAGGGTGTATGTTCTATTAGAAAAACTTTCTATTTTATCTTTGTTGCTATGTACTCCCTCCAGTGCACAATAAGTGTTCTTTTGGAATACAACAACAACATTACCCCAGTGCCACAAAGGCTCCCACCAACGGTGGGGTAAGAGGGGGTCGGATGTATGCAACCTTACCCCTGTACTAAAGCTAAAAAATTGCATGGACTGACTGCGGCTTCATAACAAAGAAGCGCAGACAGTTTAGTGAGCCATTTAATAAGTGTTCTTTTGGAATAAATCGCGCAAATTAAGGACTTGATAAATAGAGAAAAACTTTACAACACAATCCCTACTTACCGTTAAGTATGAACGAAATGTAGCATTAATATTGTTTTGGGTTTACAAAAAGATACTTCCAGTGTAACAGAAATTTCCTCCAAAACGACACATATTTGTGAACAATTTTTCCCTCCAAAACATGTATTGTGAACCTCAACAATTAACCTAAAAGGTAAAGCCCACCCACCATCCCCCCAACTGTCGTCTGAAGTCATAATTGATCTTTAACAGGTTGAACAGGCTCTTGATGTTGCTGAGAAACTTGTGCGAGCCGTTCCTGATGAGCTTAAGTTTGTAGCTGGTGATCTCACCAGAGCACTTGTACATGTTCGTTGTTCAGATTCTACTGTTGATGGAGAGGAAGAATCTGCAGAAGACAAGAGAGAGAAGGCATTAGTTGCTTTGATCGCTACCTGCCCGAATGAATCTCTAAGTGAGCTAAACAAATTAATATATTCACCGAATCTAGATGTAAGTCAGCGGATATTGATTCTTGAAGTCATGACAAGTGCTGCTCTAGAACTTGCAAATTCACAAACTTCAAAACCCAAGCAAGACTCTAGATTCCTCGTGTCATCCATGTCAGACCAGCCATGGTTTGTGCCCAAGAACATAGGTCCCCCTGGAGCTACATCATGGAAGGAGGTCTCAACTCCGGGAACTCCTTTGAATTGGTCTTACTCTTATGAGAGAGAGCTTCCCTCCAAACCAAGTCAAATAAAAAAAGGAAGGAAGACACGTCGGTGGAACCTTCAAGCATCAATGAAACAAGATACCCAGGTTGACTGTTCCTTGAATAAGTTTCCCCAATATGCAGCTATGTTTATGCTTCCAGTGATGCAGACATTTGATAAGAAAAGACACGGTGTTGATTTGCTTGATAGAGATTTCTTCGTTTTGGGAAAGGTTATCTACATGCTCGGGGTTTGTATGAAGTGTGCTGCTATGCATCCAGAAGCATCTGTTTTGGCATCTCCTCTATTGGATTTGCTGAGATCTAGGTATCGATCGTTATTATTCCTGCTAGCGGTGTTATTGCTGGTTATCCATGTCTACCTAATATTAACACACCTTTACCCCCATAAAGTGAAAGCCTTATTCTCGATCACTATTACCTCCATCCTTAAGAGGAGTTCCTACTTTAACTTGTGTGATTTATGAATCAAATACTTTTCTTTTGACTTCCAAGAATGTTATTGTGATAGGTGGTTGAGAATAATTAATAATGGTAGGTGGGGGGATATTAGGCGTGGATAAGTAAAGTAAGAATTTTACTTTTACCTTAATAAGGAAAGAAGCCTTCGTATAAAGGAGATTATGGACTTTATTTGGGACAATTGATGTATTAAAATATTATTTGTGGTGTAAATGAAAAATGCTCGAGGCAGTGTAGAGTCTGTTTGGCACTCGAAGCTGCTAAATAGCTCAAAGCTGTAATAGGTGTCAAGCGTTTGGCAAAATTAATTGTTGGGTAGTGTATTGATGTAAGAAGACATAAATGTGCATCCCTTATATTGATTGTAGAGATTAAATGATGTTAGTTTGTAGTAGAATAAAGTTCTTAGTGTAAACAAATAAATAGCTAAAAGCTTAATTATTAAAGCTTTTCAAAAAATAGCTTATATAAAGTTCTTATTTTATTAACCAAACAGGTCTGATAGATTATTTATAGCTTAAATTAAACTACAAGCTCCATAATTATCTCTACCAAGGACACACTAATTGTGTTGTTGCTTCCATGAATCAGAGTCTCCACACTTCTTTCTTATCTTTTCATGGTCTTGTGTTTCTGAAGCACTGTTGGCTGTTATTATTGTACTAGGGAGGTATCTTTTCATAAGGAAGCATATGTCCGGAGGTCTGTGCTTTTTGCAGCATCATGCATATTGATTTCTCTTCATCCCTCCTTTATAAAATCTGCCCTAGTTGAAGGCAATGCTGACTTTTTAAATGGGCTCGAATGGGTCCGCACATGGGCCCTAAGTGTAGCTGAATCAGACACAGATAGGGAGTGTTACACGGTATGTCACTTTTCCCCTTTGAAAGTTTGGTCTACATTTGATTATTTCTATTTCCATGCTGCATTTATTCTTTTACTGCAAAGCATTTACTATGATATCCTAATTTTGTCTTACCATACTGACGCTGTGTAAAGTGAGCTTCTTTCTTCAATGCGAGTTGCTGACACCCTGATCCAAATGCTTAAAACAAAGTTTGAGTAATCATCATTATCATTAGTGCCTACCCTGTTGCCAATAAATGTATAAAATTGATTTTTTGAACCTAGAAAGGAACAAGGTGAGGGTCCAGGGAAGGGTCTCTCACTACTAGGGTATAAGGGCCAAGCCTTCCCATGTCAAATTTTGACAAGAGGCCGCTCGCAAGACTCAAACCCGTGACCTCATAGTCAAACAACAACAACCTGCAACCCTAACCAAATAATAGTATAAAATTAATTTTAGACGATATATTCATGTAAAAGAGAATGTGGACGATGTTTTCCGTCTGATGCCCTCCCTGTCACAACCTTCTTATTTTTTAAGAAGGAAATAAAAAATGAGGTTGCAGTGTCGAAACATATTCAACTTAAGGAATGTAACATATCTTAGCATAGCACTGTATCATTGATTTAAAATGATTTATTGAGCCTTATTTGACTAAAAAATCATGAACCTTTCCCATTGAACTTAAATCAGTGTCCTTGCTCTGTATTTTCTTTCTCTGTAAAATTTTAATCGCATCCAACCCTAACACTTTGTTTGGGAACTCTCCGCTCTTGGTGATAGACAATATGGGGAAAAAATGTTTTCCTAGTATTTTAATCATCTCATGTTATTGCATTGGAAAGACAAAGAGGAGTGGAAAGACTGCAAAAATAATTATTTGTTACGAAAGTAATCTTTAATGGAATTTAGAATAAGAAGGATTGAGACTGAATCACTTGGTTTATTCCATGAAATGAGTTGCTATTTATACAATATTCTAGGGATTAATAAGGCAGGCTACTAATTATAATATTAAATACAAATATTTGTAACTGACAACTCTAATCAATTGTGTAACGGTTGTCTAGACTTTTCTTTGTCTAGATTCTTCTATATGCCCCCGCAAGCCAGGTATTCTATCAGTGCTAAGAATCCTGAGCTTGTCACGTAGAAACACAAACCGCTGCCGTGAAAGTGGCTTGGTGAGAATCAAGGTAGTCAAAAGCGCGCGCTTCAGCGCCTAGGCGCACAAGGCGCAGCGAGAATCACCCCCAGCGCCTTAGAATCGTAGAAGCGCAGCTTCCTGCCTCAAGCGCAGTAAAAGCGCATAAGCGCAGGAAGCGCTGAAGCGCTATAAGGCGCACGCTTTAGTCGCCTGAGACGGAAAAGGCTTACAGCCTTTTTTATGTTTAGAACTTTGAAAAGCAATTAGCCCATATGTTTAATAGCACTCAGCCCATGAAAAAATAGGGTAAACCCACTTAAAACTACGTGAAACTAAGAGTAAAAAGGTAAAACTGGCGCAAGACACTTCAGCTATCATCGCTCACCATCCTCGCTCTTCACTCTCCTGGCTTTCCTCACTCGACACTAAGCTCTACATCAGCCAGTTCTTTCAGCTTCCTTCATCATCTGAAGCATACTCAGCTCTCCCTGGAGCTAAACAAGGTATGTTCTTTTTATCATGTAGTCCTCTTTATACAAATATCATATTACAGTATGTTAGTGTTTATTAGTGTAAATATGTAATATTAGTATGTAATACTCAGTACTTAAATGTAATACTCAGTACTTAAATATATGTACTCTGGTTTGTGAATTTTTAGTATATTAGTACGTATATAATACTCAAAGTCTCATAGTACCCTACTTTGGGATTTTTTAGTATATTACTTTGTATATAATACTCATGGTACTCTGCTTTGTGTTGTTTTAGACTTTTAGTATATTACCATGTATATAATACTCATAGTACTCTGTGTTTTTTTTGTATATTACTATCAATAGTATGTATATAATACTCATAGACTTATATTCTAGATAAGCACTTTTGCTTCAAAAATAACCGTTTGACAGAAAAACACAAAGTGTTTAACAATCAAAAAACACTTTTTGCTAATGCAAGAATGCAGCAAAGCAGTGCTTCAAACTCACTGTATATATTATTCTGCTTTGTGATTTTTTTGTATATTAACATCAATAGCATGCATATAATATTCATAGTACTCTCTGCTTTGTGATTTTTTTTAATATATGTTCACTGCTTTGTGCTTTTCTAGGATATGGAAGGTGGAACAAGTTCTGTGGGTGAGGAAAGTGAGGGAGAAATTGAAGAGGACGGTGGGGAGTATAAATCAGATAATGGCGAACAAACCGACTCCTCTTTTAATGACGATTAGTCCTTCACAAGTGTCTGTTAGTTTTAGTTTTAGTTTTAAGCCATGAATTCTGAATTTGGACTTTTATTTTTGTGAATCATGACTTTATTTTGCTGAATCCTAGCTTTTTTATGCATTTGGTTCAATATGATGTTACATACATCATATTTGGTAATTACAAAATATTATATGTAATTTTATATAGGTAATGCGCTTCACCCGAGTGAGGCGTGCGCTTTTTTGCGCCTTGCGCCTCAGGCGCTAGAAGGCCCCTAGCGCTTCACGTGCGCCTCACGACTTTGACTACCTTGGTGAGAATGTTAGCTAGTTGATCATGAGAGGGAATATGAAGAACTCGAAGAAGGCCACGTTGCACGCGTTGACGGACAAAATGGAAATCAATAGCAACATGTTTCATTCGGGAATGAAAAACCGGATTGGCGGAAGAGGTGGTGGCGCCTTTATTATCACATAGAAGAACCGGAGGAGAAGAAGGAGAATGTCGAAGCTCATGAAGAAGTGACTCAATCCAAAGAGTTTCAGATGCAGCTGTGGATAGGGCCCGATACTCTGCTTCGGTAGAGGATTTGGCAATTGTGCATTGTTTGGATGATTTCCATGAAATAAGTGATTCTCCGAGAAAAATGGCATAGGAACTGGTGGAGGACCGGTCGTCTGGATTTCTCGCCCAGTCCGCATCAGCATAAGCACACAATGAAAGGTGAGAACTCCGACGAAGATGTAAACCATGAGAGCTTGTTCCTTGAAGGTACCGCAAGAGACGTTTCATGAGCTGCCAATGATTGATAGTGGGTTTATGCCTATGTTGTAAAAATCGGACCGGAGAGTGACCCGGACAGAAGACTGGGTCACGGGTCAACCCGGACCCGGCGGGTCAACCCGGTCAACGACCGGTAAGCCCGGTCAACACCAATACATATAAAAATTAATTACAAGTATATAAAAAGATTAAATTGATTATTACAAAAAGTGTATTCCTTCATAATTTAATAATGATAATATAATATAAGTAATGTAAAAAACTTTTGTATTTAAGAATATTGATTTTCACAACATTGAAAATACATTGGGATTTAGATGAATAATAAATATGAACATAATATGGAGTATCAATTACAAAAAATATTGGGAGATTATATACATAATTGGATGTTAAGAATATCATTGATTTGTATTTATTAGTATTAAATTATAATTTGATTAATTATTGACCTAATAAACTAACACTAATAAAAATACTCCAGGCTTAAAAGTGTATAAAAGAGCTAAACAACCAAAATTACCAACCGGCTTGTGTAGCACGTTGGTTTGCCCGCTTAAAATTGAAGCAAGTGGCGCGGGTTCGACTCCCGCTGGTGAAGATTTTCCGGGTTTTTTGCATAATCCGGGTTTGAGACGGGCCGGTTCCGTCACGAGTTCGGGCGGGTTACTGGTTAATCCCGATTTTACTCAGATTTACGGGTCAATGGTCAACCGGACCGGACATAAGGCCGGGTGACCGGTTTTCGGGTCGAACCGGCCAGTCCGGTTCGGGTCTTTCAACACAGGTTTATGCATAAACTGAGCTAGCTTGTTGATGGCAAAGGCAGTGTCAGGTCGGGTGAGGCTTAAATACTGAAGTGATCCAATAACTTGACGATAGAGGGTTGCATCACAAGAACCCGAACTATCAAACAAAGTCAAGGAAGCTCAGGAAGCTAAGGGTGTGGATACTGGATTCGCCTCATGCATGTTCAACACTTGTAATAAATCCGTAATGTACTTGTGTTGATCAAGAAAGAGTCCATCCGGTGTAGGGGTGACCTGCATGCCCAAAAAGTAATGTAGTGATCCCAAATCCTTGATGGAGAATTTTTGTGCTAACAAGTCAATAGTCTGATGGATCAATGTTGTTGTAGAGCCCGTGACAATAATATCATCCACATATACTAACACATAGATATAAGATGGATGAGAGGAAAAAATGAAGAGGCTGACATCAGAAACTGATTAATAAAACCCAAGGGATAAAAGAAATCCACTGAGAGATTGGTACCACACCCGAGGTGCTTGTTTGAGACCATAGATGGATTTCCTTAGACGACACACTCTTCCAGATCCATCATTAAAACCAGGGGGTTGTTTCATGTAAACCTCCTCTTGGAGAGCCCCGTGTAGGAATGCATTGTTGACATCTAGTTGATTTATGTGCCAGCCATGAGAAAGGGCAATGGTCAGAACAACCCGGATAGTAACTGGCTTGATGACAGGACTAAAGGTCTCAGAGTAATCAATCCCCGGGTGCTGATGAAAGCCCTTAGCCACCAATCGAGCTTTGAAACGATTTGCGCTCCAGTGTCTTCCAGACAGAGGCGGAGGTCATTGCTGACCCAATCAACAGTTTGCAAGCGGAACTGGGGGAAGAAACAAGGGCGTGCCGCACCAGACGGTCATGTCTCTTCCATCGGAGATGGCTGGCAGCTTCACTTTCTGGAGGAGGACTGAATTTTTCATCAATATACTGGTCCAGATGAGAACCAAACAGAAGGTCCATCACTTGGTCTCTCCATACAAGGTAATTTGATCCATCTAGTTTTTCTAGGAATTGGCTAGGGCTGAGCATAATAAGGCCATCTGGGGTTAGGGGATTGTTGGCTGAGAAAGATGAGGTTGAATTATCTTCTGGACTTTTGTCTCTGTTATCTTCATTAGCCATGGGCAGATGAAGATGATGCTGGTTGAGAGGAAGGTGATGAGAACAGACCGATTAGGTCTCTAGAGGCTCTGATACCATAATGGAATTTAGAATAAGGAGGATTGAGACTGAATCACTTGGTTTATTCCATGAAATGAGTTGCTATTTATACAATATTCTAGGGATTAATAAGGCAGGCTACTAATTATAATATTAAATACAAATATTTGTAACTGACAACTCTAATCAATTGGGTAATGGTTGTCTAGACTTTTCTTTGTCTAGATTCTTCTATAATCTTTTCATCCTAAGTTTCAAATATTCTCTCGAATTCGAAGAGAAAATGAGGAAAATAACTCTTATTTCCATTCCTTTCTGTTTCTTCTAATCTTCTTCTTTCCCAGTGATAGGAATATCCAATATTACAGGAATTTTAGCTAACACAGATTACAACAGGAAATCAGATAAGAATTCTAGCTATTCAGTAAGAATTCAACTCAAGAAATCAATCAGAACTTTTATTCATGAAAGCAACAGTACAAGAGTCCCAAATAAGGAGATAATACTCCAACTTCCCAATCCCAGACTAACCGTCTAAACAGCCTGCCTTCCCTCTGTAGAAGACTTCTATTTATATCCTTCTTCAAATAGAAGGTAGTTATTAGTTATCAACAGCTTTAACTAATAACCAGACTAGTCTACTTATGCCTTCTAGAATAGACTTGCCCAAATCTATTTCTATTATTTAGACTAGCAGCCGTGTCCCTATCACCCAGACAAGCAAAAAATATTAAAAACACAATCCTTCTTCTTTTAATCCCATATTTTTATTCCCACACTTAGTTTAAGGCTTTCGATGGGTGTGTGATTCCAGGAACTCCCCTATTCTTTAGAATGGATGTGATTAAAAAATCATTGTTCATTCCTTACATTATGGTATCATGTTGTTAAGAAACCCTAAGAATTAGGGAACTCATGCGCTGATCAATTCCTGAAATTGGAGGCATACATGTAGGTCTGTCCGTCGTTTTAGGTTGAACAGGAACCAGAATTGGCGGCTTTGAACAGGAACCGGCAGTTCTGAACCGGAACTGGAACCGCAGTCTAGTAGCCTGAGCCTTCGGTTTGGGGAAGTTTGGTTTTAACAATATGCGGAACCGGATTTCAAAATTTAAAAATAATCTTTTTTTAATTCCTCAAGAACTTAACTGGATTTTGTATAAGCTATATTTTGATCTATTGAAACTTAAATGGATTATTAAAACTTAATTGTAATATTAAAATGTAAACTATACTTTGAACTATTAAATTACCTATTAAAGTTTAATATACTTCAAACTTAATATAGTTCAAAATTAAATGGAGTATTATTTATACATTTAAAATGTATACATAAACAAAGTGTCTCAAATGCTTCCAAGGTATATGGTCCTGCTGCCCCTTAACCCAACTGATATGGTAGACAAATTATAAAAAAAGTATTATGGGAAAATTTACCACATATAAATATTTGATTTTACTTGAAAGTTGAAAGTTAAAAAAATGCATAGTTAATTGATTCGGTTGAAATAGTATCAACCAACGAACAAAACTAAATTTAAGAAGCCAAAAAAATAAAAAACGCCGAACTGGCCTGGAACCCAATCAGCATTGCCGGTTAAGCACTCCGGTTCCGCATATTGTGAAAATCAAACTGTTTCCCAAACCGAAGGTTCAGGCTACTACACTGCAGTTCTGGTTCCTGTTCAGAACTGCCGGTTCCTGTTCAAAGCGACCAGTTCTGGTTGCTGTTCAACCTAAAATCATGGACAGTTCTGTGGTTCTACTACTGTGTGGTCCAGTTTCATACTCCCTTCATCTGTATAGACTATAACGAATTTGAAAACAAAGCAGTTTTCGAGTTACATGCAGTAGGAATAATTTTAGCGAATGCAATATTCTACTACATTTATTTATCACATTTGAAACGAGGTGAACATCCCACTTTTGTGAAGGTCATCTCGTGTTGTTGCCATTGCGTCGAAATTATAAAAAAAAGTAATGTAAACTACTCTACTAGGCTCAAGCTAAGTTCCCTGCCCCTTTCTATGATTGAACTTGACTGTTTGCCCGTACTTAATTATATTCTACTGCATTTAATAAATGGAAGGATCTAGGTGGGGCATGTGCATGTAGTTTATTAGTGCATTTATGCATGTAGTTAATTCATGCATTCATGCATATCATGCTTTGACAAATATATAGTTCTCATAAAGCCAGACAAATTTCTCTTCATTGCATCTGAGCTAGTGGGCTAAATAAATGGTGTGGTACTACTAGTCTAGGTTCCCCTCACATGGGATTTGTCCTTCCTGCAGGGAACCTATCTGGTCTATAAAGCTAGATTCCTTCGCACAATGGTCGCTAGACTTGTCAAAATATTGAGAAGGGATCATTAAGAGCATTAAATGCTCCCTTGATGACAGCTTAGGTATTGCAGGGAGACATCATATGTACTGTTAGGTTAGTTCATTGACAGCAGTGCCGGTCCTACCTAAACTCAGGCCTGAGTCGAGCTTCATAAAATGGGCCCCATACATAGTATTTGTTTATCAAATAAATTCACTAAAATTGAATGAATAAATATCACAAAAACACAATCTTTCAACAAAAGTCTTCCATTATCACAAAACGACATTGAATGTATTAAAAAAATTACTCAAGTAAAACCCGTCGAACAATTTTAGATACATAATTTAGTGGAATCCTCAACAATATATATTATTAATTTTCTCTACAAATCAGCCCTCGAACTAACTTAAAAAGTGCAAAACACCCCTTATATAAGAGGTTCTGTCCGACCGTCGCCATTCGGGGTGGTTCCTAGTGAAATTTTTTGATGAAATTTTTTGAGCATCTTTTTCATTAAGTCTAGTTTATCTATACCGAAGTTCAGCTAAAAATTCAACCAATAAGGCAGTCAAATGATTTTCTGAAATATACTGCGTTGTTTAATAGCGCAGTTATCTTCAAAAATTCATTTGACTGCCTTCCCAATTGCATTTTTTACTGAAATTTGGTATGAGTAAGTTAGACTTAATGAAAAAGATGCTCAAAAAATTTCATCAAAAAACTCCACCGGGAACCACCCCAAATGCTTAAAAAATTGTAGACCCCTAATTTTTTCAATTTTTTGGGGCCCTGAGGCTTGGGCCTCTCCAGCCTAACATAAGGCACGGGCCTATTTGACAGCATAAGGAGGATGGGGTCTGGTCATTTTTTAAATTAATATTCAATCCATTTTACGGACTCAAAATTTCAAGGAAAATGTGTACTTTTTGATGAATCATTTGACAATGAATAGTGAATTAGCGTCAATTTCATTTTTTAGTGGGGAGGGGGGAGGGGTCTTAAAAAAAATAGTCTCTTCACTTCCGGTGGTAGAGGCAGGGGCGAATCTGCGTTAGGGGACAACCTACTTCTTGATTTGCTTGTTGGGAGGGGAGAGCGGGGTCAGTCGTGGGAGGAGAACCAACAAATTATAGTCTTTAACTTTAATATAATATGTGACTTAAATATTTGAGTCTGTTTTGTGCTAAGTTGGGTAAGATATGGTAATTTGCCACTAACATTCGGTGTATATATATGCATTGCGCAGCTGGCAATGAGCTGCATCCAACTCCACAGTGAAATGGTGTTGCAAGTTTCTAGAGCGGTTGATAGGGTAGAAGAGAGTCACACCCGTTTGCCCTCAAATATGTGGAGGAGTGGTGGTGCTATTAAATTCTACTGATTGGTGAGTTTGAAGAATTGTTTCCAGAGAGCCCTTTAGTTTGGATAGATAAACTCATTCATAGACATGCTTTGTTGGGTTAGAGATATTACTATAACGTAATTATATTACAACCCTTTTAATGTATGAGGGATATATGATAACTTTCAATTGCAAACAATTGATTACACCGTCTAATTCTACATGTGGATAAACAAACATAATCATGTAATGTTGATTACATTTCAAAGTTGTTATTACTAAGTAATCAAACATAGTAATGGTATGAAATTCATATTTAAGTAATAAAAAAAGGCGTTAATTTCATCCAACAAGAAAAAGGAAGGAAGACACATTGGTGGAGCCTTCAAGCATCAATGAAACAAGAAACCCAAGTTGACAGTTCCTTGAATATGTTTTCCCAATATGCAGCTATGTTTATGCTTCCACTGATGCAGACATTTGATAAGAAAATACATGGTGTTGATTTGCTTGATAGAGATTTTCATCATCTTAGGAAAGGTTATCTACATGCTCGGGGGTTTGTCTGAAGTGTGATGCTATGCATCCAATAGCATCTGTTTCGGCATCTCCTCTGAGATCTAGGTATCAATCATTATTATTCATGCTAGTGGTGTTATTGCTGGTTATTATTCTTGACCACTACTACTTCCATCCTTAAGAGGAGTTCCTACTTTAACTTGTGTTTTTTTATGAATCAAATATTTTGCTTTTGACTTCCAAGAATGTTATTGTGATAGGTGGGGATATTAAACGTGGATAAGTAAAGTAAGACTTTTACTTTTATCTTAATAAGAAAGATTGAAAGAAGCCTTTGTATAAAGGAAATCATGAACTTTATTTGGGACAGGTGAAGTATTAAAATGTTAGTTGTGGTGTAAATGAAAAATGCTTGTGGCAGTGTAGAGTCTGTTTGCCACTCGAAGCTGCTAATTAGCTGAAAGCTGTTCTAGGTCATTTATAGGTGTTATGTGTGTGGTAAAATTAAAGAGAGAATTACCCTAGGTATAACTAAAACTCCACCACATTCCCAATCTATGACTTTGAGTTTTTTTCCCCAAATAATATTAAAATTCGTAATATTTAATTAATATATTATTAAATAATAAAATAAATATTTTATATGGACTAATATGCCCTTAGATTTTCATTATAAAACCCTAACATCCTATACATCTTCTCCAACCCTAGTTGTTGCCGTCCAGTATCCCTGCCTCTCCGTCCAGCCATCTACCATCGCCGCCCAACTGCTTGCCGTCTCCGCCCAACCACTGCCGGCCACCGTCCAGCCTCTTTCACGTCTTCATCCATATCAACAAGATCAGGACGAGTAGGCTTTGATTCTGGCGGATTTGGGGATCCAGTTCTTATGGCCGTGATTTTCTTGATTTTATTCCATCATCAGCCGTTCAACCATCGTTTGACATCTCGCCGGCTTAATTCAAACGATTTAATCGCCGCATAAGATGAATTGATTTCGTATTCGAACAGTAAAAAGAAGTGTGAAGCTAGCGGTGGAGATATCCGTTGATGGCGTTCAAGAGTGAGCACTCTGGCAGCTCTGTTTGTGAAACGCAATGAGGGATACGGAGTATTAGATCTCAGGCCTAAGGGTTTGTTTTGAGATTTCTTTTCTTCACTTTTGGGAGATTTCTTTTTTTGTTCCTCAAAAAAAGAAATTGAAGTTTGTTGAATTTAGGGTTTATGGGCATTAAACATGTGGATTGAGCAATAGCGGTGAATATGACAATAAGGCTTGAATATGACAGTGAATGTGACAATACATAATAGATATGTTGTACATGGCAGTGAACGAATGCACTAAGAAATTTTGTTATGCAGTGATTATGACTAGTATTGCACTAACATAAAACAGTGATATCATCATCAAATGCAATATACTCCCCCTATTCTTATTTCTCACCTACTTTGCACTCAGCAAAGTCTACTGGGACGGAGGTAGTACCTAAATAGACTTTGCAGTTTGCACTCCTCAATTGCATAAGAAGAGAATTAATTTTAGGGGAAGTGCAGTGATTATTACCAGATGTGCAGTAAAGTCATGCATTAATTTTGTGCATTAACGGCAATATAAAGTGCAATAATTTTAATTGGACGAAATTAGTGCAAAATGCACATATTTTAAATAAGGGTATTTTTGTCATTCAACATTTAAATATAAACGAATTTTCTATTTGTTTTTGGATTTTCGGTCATACAAAGGTATAAAAACTAGTTAGGTCATAGATTGAGAAACTCATTGAGTTTTAGTCATATCCCGGTAAATTTCCCAAAATTAAACTGTTGTGTAGTGTATTGATGTAAGAAGACATAAATGTGAATCCCTTATATTGATTGTAAAGATTAAATGATGTTAGTTTGTAGTAAGATAAGGTTATTACTGGAAATAGCCAAGAGCTCACTTACTCTGTATTTTCCTTCTCTGTAAAATTCTAATCTCATCCAACCCTAACACTTTGTTTGGGAACTCCTCTCTTGGTATAGACAAGATGGGGAAAAAAAATTATTTTCCTAGTCTTTTAATCATATCATAATATTGCATTGAAAGAAAAAAGGAGGGGAAAGAATGAAAAATTAATTATTTGAATTGTCAGTTTTGAAGGGAAAGCTACAATATCTCATTATGAATTTAAAATAGCATTGTATTTGTTACGAAAGTTGAACTTTTCATCTTAAATTTCAAATTTTCTCTTGGATTTGAAGACAAACTGAGGAAAATAACTCTTATTTCCATTCCTTTTTGTTTCTTCTTCTTTCCCAAACTACGAAAAATATTAAAAACATAACTCTTCTTCTATTACTCCCATATTTTAATTCCTAAACTTAGTTTAACGCTTTGTTTGGATTGGGGTGTGATTCAAGGAACTCCCCCATTCCTTAGAATGGATGTGATTAAAACCCCATTGTTCATTCCTTTTAATTTAGAAATAATTACATGTTGTTAGAAAACCCCAAGATTTAGGGAACTCATGGACTGATCAATTCCTGAAATCGGAGGCATACATGTAGGTCTGTCTATGGGTGGACTCGGGCCGGGTGGCCCGACCCGAAACCGGCCCGGCCCGCCACTGTTCCGGCCTGGCCCGGTGGCCCGGTCATGGACCGGTCCGGGTAGGCTTGACCCGGGGTGGTTCCGGTCCGGGCTCGGGCCCCTCAAAACGTGAACCGACCCGGCCGGTTCGGGCCCGGTCCGGGCCATTTTATTTTTTTTCGAATTTTTTTTAAAGTTTTTGGATTGGGCTGGGTATTTTGGGCCATTTGAGGTGGTTTGGGGTGGTTTGGGTGTGAGGGGGGGGGGGGTTAATTAGGAAAAGGCAAAATATATATATATATACCCGAGGCCCGGCCCGACCCGGACCCGGCGGTTACACGGGCCGGTTCCGGGCCCTCCAATCCAGGACCGGAGGCCCAACCGGGCCCGGCCCGAACCGAGTTCATCCATAGGTCTGTCCGTGGTTTTTGGTTCAACAGGAACCAGAACCGGTGGCTTTGAACAGGAATTGGCAGTTCTGAACTGGAACTGGAATCGCAGTGTAGCAGCCTGAACATTCAGTTTGGGGAATGGTTTGGTTTTCACAATTAGCGGAACCGGTTTTCAAAATTTAAAGTAGTCTTTTTTTAATTCCTCAAGAATTTAACTGGATTTCTTAGAAACTATACTTTGATCTACTGGAACTTAATGGGTTTTTAAAATTTAACTAGTAATATTGAAATATAAACTATGCTTTGAACTATTACGTTACCTATTAAAATATAATATGTTTCGAACTTAATATAGTTCAAAATTAAATGGAGTATTAAGTATTATTTATACATTAAAAATGTATACATAAAATAAAATGTGTCTAAATGCTTCCAAGGTATATGGTCTTGCTGCCTCTTAACCCAACATATATGGCTGACAAATTATAAATAGTGTAATGGGAAAATATACCACATATAAATATTTGATTTTACTCGTAAGTTAAAAGAGGCATAGTTAATTGATTCGGTTTAAATAGTACTACGTATCAACAACAACAACAACATCCAAGCCTTAGTCCCAAAAGATATTGAGATCGGCTAACATGAATCGATACATGATATCACCACCAAAAGGAAAAAAAAGAAAATAAAGATTAAAAAAATAAGCTAATATAAAAAGATAATATAAAACGAGATGAGTATACCTAAAAATGATAAAATAAAAAGGACAAAAATAATGTTTATATATAAGGATAAAAGAATAAAATAACAAGAAGAAGAAAAAATGAGGGAAAAAAAACGAGATCACTCTTCCACACGAATACCCGCCCTCCACCTTGCTCTCTCCAAAGCCATACCCTCATCCAACCCAAGAAGAAGCATATCACTTCGGACTCCCCTAACCCACGTCTGTTTGGGACTTCCTCTCCCTCTCTTCCCTGCCTCTTCTCCACACATCTCAACACGTCTGACAGGTGCATCACTCGGTCTTCTACGCACATGACCAAACCACCGTATGTGAGACTCCCGCATCTTGTCTTCAATAGGTGCTACTCTCACTCTTTGTCTGATTGTCTCATTTCGCACGTGGTCCTTCCTAGTATGCCCACACATCCAACGCAACATGCACATCTTTGTCACACTCATCTTTTGAATGTGACATTGTTTCACCGCCCAACACTCTACACCATACAACAATGCAGGCCTAATTGCTGTCCTATAAAATTTACCCTTCAGTCTAGTGGGCATACCTCTATCACATAGAAATCCTGACGCACTCTTCCTCTTCATCCACCATGTTCTGATTCTATGAGATACATCTCCATCTAGCTCACCGTCCTTCTGAATTATGGAGCCCAAGTAACGGAACATATCACTGACCGGTATCTCCTTACCATATAGAGAGAGTAATTCCACTATTACCACTGCTTCTACCTCCACCAAACTTGCACTCCATGTACTCTGTCTTGCTCCGACTTAGTCTGAAACCCTTGTTCTCCAATGTCTGTCGCCATACTTCCAACTTTGCTTTAAGACATGATTGCGTCTCATCAATCAATACAATATCGTCAGCAAACATCATGCACCATGGTATTTCGTCTTGAATTGACTCAGTAAGTTCATCCATGACTATGGCAAATAAGAAAGGGCTTAGAGTCGATCCTTGGTGGACTCCGATAGTAATAGGGAACTCCGTAGTCCTCCCTACATTAGTACGAACACTTGTAGTACAATCCTCATACATATCCATGATGATGTTGA